GATGAACGTGGTCACCAATCAGAGTGTGTATTCCCTTTGAGTCTTAGTCTTGGAAGGGGGTTTGCCCTTAGGGGACCTGACCTCTTGGTTTGATGTCTCCTGGGGTGAGCAACTTGCTAGTTATTGTAGTAATCAGTGGTGGTGATGGTTATGTGCCATGGAGTCAGTTCTGACTCATAGCGACCCTGTAGAGGGTGTCTGAGGCTGTAAATCTTTACGTGAGCAGAAAGCCTCATCTTTCTCCCATGGAACAGCTGGTAGTTTTGAACTGTTAACCTTATGGTTCACAGCCCGATTCATAACGCTACCAGAGCTCCTTGTAGTAATCAGTAGGAATACCTATATTGTTTTGTATTTTTCCTGTCGGTCTTTCTTTCAAGAAGTATCTTCTGTTTTTCTAGCCACTCCAGCCTGGTATGCTTGTCCTTTCAAGTGGAAAATTCCCACCTCAGAAGATTCTGGATGGGGTTCAGGATTCCACCTATGGTCTTATGTAATGCAGAGGCTCCACAGGAAGTCTCCTTTACTGGGCATGTTGTAGCCCCATATTAGGTATTCCATTCAGTTATAGGCAGAAGATGGACTTACAAGCTTTCTATGGTGATATTTCTGGCTATTCCTTTCTCTCCCATTCAAGTGTCTATTTTATAATGGTATGCCAGGGAAACCAAGATTCAAAAGACAGCCATGCATCTTAACATTACTTCCCCCCTTTTGCCCATTCCAACCATGTCTCAATCCCTGTATCTCAGATCCCTGTTTTTCCAAGGTTGTGCATACATCATTATTTACCTCTGTCTCACATAGCCCATGCAAACCTGCCTAATTATTTCCCATCTGCTTTGTTCTTCCATTCCCCTCCCCCTTCTTCTTTAATGCCCCCCTCCCTAGCACCCAAACTATACTTGTCTATTCCCTACCCTGGACTCCACTTTCCCCTCCCTTCCCTCACCGCACCCCCCACATCCCAGTAACCAGCAAAGAATCCCCTCCCACCCTTTAGTATGGGTTCTTTTTCTTAGTCTTTTATAGTAGTGGTCCTATGCAGTATT